GCTCAAAATTCCACTAAGAAAACGTGGTCTCGGTGAACGGATGCTTTTGGCGGGGAAACATGAAATACGCGATGGTGCCATGCGTGTTCGCAGGGCACATACTACAAGCATTCTACATATAACCATGTACTACGTTTAGCCAAGATTTTAGACTCGTTACTATAGTAGAGATACGTGACGCGCGTATTTCGAACGATGCACTGCTTTATTAGTAATGATCAGTTGTTTGATCGATTCAGTATTTTATATAAGAGCGTAAAGACTAGAACTGATATTTGACTAAGACATGGATGTTACGACGGCACTCTTGCAGGCAGTGATCTCTATAGTGGACTATATATATATATATATATATATATATATATATATATATACCGTATACTATATAGCGGTAGCTATCATACACTTACAATATCAGGAATACATAATCATGAATCTTATTCACTCCTGACTTGTATCGTGAATGTAGGCAAAGCTGTAGGGAAGAGTAGATGTCTTGTCTGTGATATCCTACGCTAGCTATCGCGTAAATTTACGAGTATTTATCTGTAAGTGACATGGCCAATTACGTTTAAACGCATTATTGCTGATATGAAAATACAAAACAAGTGCCGCGGAGCGACAGCGCTTATCTAACGTCTACTGCGGTGACTCTGCGTATTGGCAACGATCTGGGCCAATTTTGGTGCTTTTGGAAGATATGTGAACCCAAACGGCCCCTTTTTAGCCCTACACTAGACTATAAACCTTCTCCAACCAAATTTAGCTTTTGAAATTTCACTGTGCATTGTGAACCTCATTACATCCAGGCATGTATAGATTTACTTAGCAAACCGGCAGTCAAATTCTTTCTAACAGTACAGTAACAAATCATGTTTAACCCTCCTTTGAAGGGTTCAAAGGTTTATTCCGACACTTACTCTTCGCATGTCAGCATGAAAGCTACATTTCATGGTCCTTTCAATAAATGCCATAAAAATGGCTAAGGTCACCGCTTGAAACAAAAAAGATTTTTCATCGCCTCTGTCAGACACATGTTCTTCATGAAAATGCCTAAATCTGCCCTGTACCCCATTGACCTTTGACTCTGCTGCCTCCAATTTCGGCACAGTGATGGCTTTCCTACCATGATGCTATCACACCGACTATTCTGAGAGCCTTAGGTCCGAACTGTTTAGCATTTGTTGCTGCCACAATTCTGCATTTCCTCCGCCTTATACCTTAAGTTAAGGCGAAGGAATTGTTCCCCCCTGCCTCTAGTTTACCCTCTTGACCCCTTTGACTTTGAACCCCCAGCTTCGACATCCCAACTCGTTGTTCGGATTACCCCCCACGGTCCCGAATATCGTGACGTGACGTCGAGCGCGTTAAGATTGTGCCCAACTGTTGACGGACGACGCACGGACGCACTACGCGACCGCGGACAGACGGCGCACGGACGGTCATGCGATTCTACAAGTGAGCTAAAATGGGTTCACGTTCATTGCTACTCGCGCGAACACTATATAATATATATATATATATTTTATATATATTTATATATA